GTGCGCTCTGGGGTCTGCCCGGCCTGTCGCGGTTGTGCCTCGGCGTTTGGTCTCGGGCAGCGCCCGGGGACGCGAAGTTCCCCTTTCCGGGTGAGGCAGAAGGCGCCGGTCGGGCCCTGGCCGCTGGGTGGACTGGCCGGGCTGCTCTCGTGAGGGGTACCCCGAAACGGGGCCGGCTTTAGGCTGACAGAACCAGTCTGCACAAACACTGGGCTGTTTCCGTGGGGTTGTCCATTCGCCCGGTTGTTAATAAACCGCTTCAGAGTGTTGTTCTTTAAACACATTGCCTCTGAGATAAGGAAACTTGTATGAGCAGTAGTGTGTTTTCTCTAGCTATGTGCTTCATTTATATTTAAACTTAAGAAAACCTTGTATTATGATCAGAGTTGTCAGAAAATCTGTACCTCTCTGCAGGTGATGATGTCAGGCATAAATTAAGCTTCTCTACTGCCCCAGGTCCTGTCATTTGTAAGGACTCGGCAGTGCTGTGCATTTGTAATGGTGTTACTGTAACAACAGTGATAAAAACCATAGTTGTTGAAGGTCATGAGTTTGCCTACTTGGTATTTGTCAGCAGAGAAAAGCCTTTTGCTGTGGTTTAGTTTTAGTAACAATCTGTGTTCTGCTGGTAGCAAACTGTTCAGTTGTTTGTCTCTAGATCTTTCTGATTGCTGGCTCTACTGAAGTGTTATCATAATTTGGCATGCTGAGCAGTGAAGTCTGAAGTTCCATTGTGAAAGTGGGATTGGTGCTGGTTGGATCTGATTCTCCCTTAAACCAATGAGATCTGACTTCTGTCCTTAGGTGTAAAATACCTTCAAAGCACTGCCAAAGACTGCTGCTCTTGAAAACTGCCAAGTTACAGGTGTTCTTTCAGTGAAGTTTTCATGTCATAAGAAATACTAACTTGAGTTCTAAAACATGTTGTGTCCTTTGGTCTGTGGTACTTGATCTGAGCCAGTGAGAGGTTTCAGTAGTGCAGGTGTGTTGGCTGGCAGCATTTCCTGATCTGCTGTGGCAGGACTGTGTATGAGAAACAGTCATGCATAATTCCTTACAGTGCCGTTTTTTCACACCAGGCAAGATGTGCACTCTGTTATAAACCATCCGTGGCCTCACACATGTGATACTTCTCTTGAGCTGCCTTGGTTAGCATTCAAAAGACTGTCATGTTAGGTCGTCTTATAGCCCACCTTTGCTAATGATGTATCTACCCAATTAATTTTGAGAAGGTGGGAGGTTTTGTGTCTGTGATCTCAGAGTGTTGCTGTCTGATCAATAGATTGAACATCTTCTTGTTAAGGCTTTATACTTCAGGACATTTAACAACAGCAAAAGTAAAAAACCATACAAAAAAATAAAGCACAAAGTTATGCTCAGCTAATAATGCTGAGTAACTTGCTTCTGCAGTGCAGTGAATGGGGAGAAGAATGACTTCTCTTGGCCTGTGATGAACTCTATACATACAGTATGAGTTTGTATTTGGTATTAGTTTTCTTTTTAGCTATATCTTGAATTAAGTGGACTGCAGGTCCTGAAGCCTCATAATGAATCTCATTATCTTTTGAAGTAGAGCAGGACTTCTTTTTTTCTACTTAGGGATTGTTCCATAGGATGTAGTTTCAGATTTTCACAGAAAAAAACATACAACTTCAAGTTCCTGTGCTTGTCTAGACTGTCCTGGGTCTCAGATTATTTTTATAGCAGTCCCTGTAACGCATCATCACAGACAGCTGCCATTGCTCTGAGTGTTTGATGTGTCTCTGCTGTGCTCTGAGGCTCCTGAGCCATGAACACAGTGCTGGAAGTGCTCCCACTCTCCTGGAGTCCTGTAGTCCCACCCACAGAGGACTCCAGGAAGTAATGGCAGAGATTGCTGGTGGTGATGTGGCAAAAATGTTTATGTTGAGAATGTTTTATTTTGTTTGGTTTTATTATCTTGCAGTGAAGTGAAAAAGTTATTTGAGCTTAACTGAAAAGAAAAGCAGAGCTCTTAAATTGGTAGCAGAACTAAAAATAATTCCCTTGGTTAATTTTTTTTTACCCAAGTTCAGAACCCTGGCCCTTTTATTATAGTTTTGCTCATGCATGAAACCTTCCTGTGACTGCTGAGCTCTCTGTGCTCCAGAGGCAGATGAACTCATTGAATAACTCTAGCATTGGGCAGTGCTGTGGTTTAGGCACTGGTGGCAGATTTTTGTCTGCAGCCACTGGTGTGCAGAGCCCTGACCTTAAACTTCTTCACTGCCTAGTTACTCAGTGTTTAAAAATCCTAAGCAGCTTTAAGAAAAGTACTTGTTTTGGTTTTGTTCTTTGCCTTCAGAAGCAGAGGTGGCAGGAGGGTGGTGCTGCAGGTCATGGCTGAGTGCTTAGATGCTGTAACTCAGCCCCTGCCTTGTCAAGGTGACAGTGTCTAACGAGGCTCATCCCTGCATTTCTGTGTGGATGTGGCTTTCCCACCCTGAAATGGATTGCACCCTCTCTTGCTTCTGTAAAGTACCCTGTTCTTTGCTCCCCTGACAATTTATTGTGGAACCCAAATTTCTTTTGGAATAAACGTCTTCTCTTTAAGAATATTTCATTAAAATTAGTTTGTTTCAAATAGGGCAAAACAAGAGAGTATCACTTGTCAGTGCTGCTTCAAGGACATGCAGTAAAGCTTCACTGGGCTTAGAATTTGTTCTGAATGTTACCTGTGTGTCCTGTTTTGTTTCCACAGCAACCATGTCAGAAGGGGACAGTATTGGTGAGTCTGTGCATGGGAAGCCTTCTGTGGTCTATAGGTTTTTCTCCAGACTTGGACAGGTTGGTTTTCTGTAGAGTTTTGCTGACTCTGGTAGAAGCAGGTCTTAGTGCAGCTGCTTAAACTCATTACTTTATGGAGGAGTTGTTGAAATACTAAAATCCATACAAAAGGTTTCTTTGAAACCTTTTACAAACAGAGAACAAGCATTGTACTAATACATAGATACAAATATAACTAATGTATAGCTTACATATATACAAATATAACTAATGTATAGCTTAATGGAATATTTAATGTGCTTATGGGTGACATTGCACCGTGAAAATTTGTGGGTTTATTGTCAAAAATGAAGAGTAACTTCAGATTTAACATCAGGAAAATAAACTTACATAAAATATTGAAAACTTAAATTGCTTTGCAGTGTTCTGAGAATGAGGAAATTATTTTTTTTCCTTTGTAAAAAGATAACTTTTCAAATACTTGTGAGCACATTTGTTTAGTTCAGTTTATTTGTAGTATGGAATACAAATGTTTCCTGTTACCATCCTTCCCAAAATTATCCTCATGAATGATTACTGTTTGCAGTGCTGTCCTGTGGTAACATTGACTCATTGTGCATCATGTGTTTTACAGATGTGCACTTTGTATTTCTCCCCAGATCTACCAGTCCTGGTTAGACAAATCTACTCCCTACACTGCCGTGCGATGGATCGTAACCTTGGGGCTGAGTTTTATCTACATGATTAGAGTTTATTTACTGCAGGTAAGAGAAGTGGATTCACTGCTAAAGTAGTTGTAGATATCATTGCTCTTCTATTTTTTTGTTATGAGTGTTGTGGTTTTCTGCTCTTTACTGCTTTATGATCTTGAACATAGAGCTTGGATGCCCAAGAAAAGCTTTTATATTAAATCTCTCAATACATGAGGGATTTCCAGTACTCTCATGTTGTAAGGCTTGTTTTGATTAATATATTAGATTTACAATAGTATACCTTACAAAACATGTAGTTTAAAAAGCTAATGTATTTTATTGTTTTTTTCAGCCTTCCTATTTGTATTGCAATACATTTAGTCAGTTGTTAGGTAGCTTTACATGAAAACTGTCACATATGTTATTGGTCAGTACCCAAATAAAAGAAGTTGGTTCATAAAGGTGATTTCATCTTTTCATAGAGTCAGGATGCTTATTTTAGACAGTGAGAATTTTTGGTATTCTTTTAACAAGTCCAGAAAACTTTCTATGCTAATGTGGGGCTGCAGAAAAGCACTTCTCAGGGAAGAGCCCAGGTTGTTTAATCTTGTTGAAAAATCAGTATCTGAAAATGGTTTTCAGGAAGACTTTAATCTTAGCTCTTTTTACTTCCCTGCTTCAGGGTTGGTACATTGTGACATATGCCTTGGGAATCTACCATCTAAATCTCTTCATAGCTTTCTTGTCGCCAAAGGTAGACCCCTCTTTAATGGAAGATTCAGGTATGATGAGTAGTTCATTTTGCAATAATTTTTAACTTAAAGTTTCAGCTGTTTTGGTGTGATACAGTAGTGTCAAGATGTGCAATTTGAGCATGACATTGTATATTTAGACTTGCAAGAAATCTATACAACTTGACATCAGGAGTTACTGTAAAATGGCTTTTTTCTTTAGAACCTGAACATATTTCATATTGAGTTTTCTGTGTTTTGAAAGCAGGTTTACATAACTTAAGTTTTCCCCATAGTAACTCTAATGACCTGGCACTCACTTGTGTTCTCTTTTGGAAAAAAAAAATCCATTAGAATGGCCACTGTAAGTGGCATCTGTGTAACAGTGAAAGAGGGGGTTTTTGCTTTTGTTTTATTTAAAGATCAGAAGTTAAAAAAAAAATAATTGTGGAATATTGTGGAAGATCAGTGTGAGGGGGTTTGTGTTCTGTCTTCCTCTCAGATGATGGTCCTTCCTTACCTACAAGGCAAAATGAAGAATTTCGGCCTTTCATTAGAAGACTCCCAGAGTTTAAATTTTGGTGAGTCTGTCTGCCCCTGCTCTGTTTTTGTAAACTAGTGGTAGCTGGGGTTGAAGGATTAATTGTTAATGTTCTTTTCAAGGCACTCTGCCACTAAAGGAATCCTGGTTGCTATGGCATGTACATTCTTTGAGGCTTTCAACGTTCCTGTGTTCTGGCCAATCCTTGTGATGTACTTCATTATGCTATTCTGTATCACTATGAAGAGGCAAATCAAGGTAAGCTGCCAAGAATAGCTGGGAGCATTTGTGATGTCAGAATTTACTGTTCCAGACTGTCCATCCAGTTGAGCACTCCAGAGACAGTAAAGGTTGGACTCACCTCTTTTACTAGAGGAATTTGAACATCTAACAGCTGTTGCATGTTTGCATCTTTGAGCAAATATTGACTATGGGAAACAAAATAGTTGGTAAAAAGTCTTCATATGCTATGTTCCAAAATTTTACACGTGCTTTCAAAAGATTTCAATCGTAGAATTCTGTATTTTTTTTATGCAGGATGAGTCTTAGAATTTGTCATCCACTTCCTTTCCTGAGTTACCTATGGCTATTTGTAATGATGAGGTCTTATAGGATCTTGTAGGGTGAAAAAGGAAGTTCTCACAAGTCGGTGCAAGAAAGTAGATGGAGAGAGGGGGAAGAACATAAGCAAATAATTGACAGTTTTTAACAAATCTAGTGTGCTTTGTTGGCATTTTAAAAGGAGAATTTCTTTTTCCCCCAGACATTCAGAATTTTGCAAGGGTACTGTTATTCAAAGTTATAAATGGAAGATTAAAGGGTGGTAAAGAATTAATACTTCTGTGCTCTGCAGTTTCCTGTGATCTCCCAGTCAGATTCTCTGTAGATTTCACTGTACTGTAGAAGTTGAGTACGCCCCAATTTGAGATTTAAAATATTGTGCTCATACCTCTGTTTGGTGCAAACTGGTGTATGATTAGCTACCTTTACAACACTAAGAACTGTCTGTCTAGAGGACTTTGTAATTTACAATGTGTATTATAAACCATTTTTGTAAATACTATGTAAGTTTCTTGTCTTAAAAATGGATCTTTTGTCTTTACAGCACATGATAAAGTACAGATATATACCCTTCACACATGGCAAGAGGAAATACAAAGGGAAAGAAGACGTGGGAAAGACCTTTGCTAGCTAGAAGATGCAACCAACCTGTTGACCAATTCTACTTCTAACTAAAGGAACGATTTTGAGCCATTGTAACAATGCCTTTTTTCTTCATAAAAAATGATTACAGAGTGGTGACAAAGCAGTTGAATTTTCATTTTAGAGGATCTTGCTATTTTTATCAGAAGTATCAGTTTCTTGAAGAAACTGGCATTCTAACCAAATTGCATTGAGTTTATTGTCTTTTGTAAGAAGCTGGAGAAACTTTGGATAATCCCATTGATTTGGGACAGTGTATTTCTTTCAAGATCCATTGCTCTGGAGAGGTTAATGGTTTCGAGTTGGATATTTTTACATTGTTCTTCTGCTCAGTACCACCCTGAAGTGTTGTGTGCATACGTGGAGGAACAATGTCTGGTGGCACACGTCATGCTCTTCCTGCTTCATGCCATGTGCTGGTTTTGTAGAAAAAATAATTAGACCTGAATAGTTGCAGGACTTCAGCCAGTATCCTAAATGCATGGTATCACTGAGTTGTTATAACCAAACAAATCTAGAGAGGAATAACAAGTCTACTGCATGGTGGGGTTTGCAGTAGGGAAGAGGTGCCCGTAGCTTCTGAAGTGACTCCTCTCTGTTGGGTTTCAATGCCAATTTCACCATTACATCTCCTAGCAGATGCTAAAATTGGGCTTTTCCATGATGACTCAAAACTTTGTTCAAACTCTATCCTTTGAGGACCTGGAATTATAAAAATATATATTTTAATTGTTCTTAGTTGGAGTTTCTTTCATACTTAGAGTTTCTTTATTAATTTAAGCTGAGTTCATGCAGCCCCTTCAGAGTGTACCCCAACTGGCCCCAGCAGACCAACAGTGTGCGTTTTAACACAGCTTCTCATTTTCTATGGGGAAAAAAAATCAGAGAGAAATGACCTGCATGTAAACTTTTTCATGTGGTACAACTGCGGTTTTATTAAGTGAATTTTTAATTCCAAGATTTATTAAAAGACAGTGTCCCCCTTTACTTGTTCTCTATCTTTATATACATATGTTTATCTAACAGTATTTATGGCTCCTTTTCAGTAATAGTTGTCCTCAATATGTCTTGAAAAATGCCTTTTTCAACTCTTCAGGGAACATTCACTTGCAGAAGTTAGGATTAGACTAGATACTGGATGGTGAATAGTGGCAACTCAGTGGACACCTAATTGGACAATGTATGTAGGAACACATTCATCTGATTTTTGTCACATGAAGTCATTATGGAGCTCTGCAGTTCAGCCTTCAGTAATCCTGGGAAAGTGGCAGGTAGTTTTAGTTCAATGACCTGTTATTTTTTGTTTACATGTATTTGTTTTGTTAGCAGTGTGAAAACTAGTAATGTCAGAATTTAAATTGATGGAAGGACAGTATCCAGGAAGAGCCTTAAAAAAGTACCAGTCATGGGTGCTTGTGGTTCATTGCCTAAAAATCTGAAAGCCCTGACTTGGAGAAGCTGTCTTCAGATTTGCTGGAGTTTCTGAATAATACAGGCAAATCAGGGAGAACAATAGGATGTGTATTAATATTGAAATTAGCAACTGAGATGACTCCTACTACACAACAGAATGTGAAGGACATCTATTATGAATCAGACATTATCTCCACGTAATTCCAGGCTCCAGTGGCAGCTTGAGAAGCCTTCTCCTCAGGTAGGCAGATGCTCTGTGTTGGGTGGGATTAATGGTTTTCCAGTGGGGGTTGTAGATGATGCTGGGACATGGGAACAGTTCCCTAGATGACTCTCAGCATGCAATGGCCAAATAAGTTTGATGGCATTTTGTTAATCTTTGCTCTATGTTTGTCATGTACAAATGATAAGAATAACCTTTCCAGAATGCATGGAAAAACTTGGCTTGACACCTTCACAGGTACTTCCCACTCATGGATTGCTTCCTATTTGACTTGGTGCTCCTCAGTGCTTTTCCCTACTGTCTGCTTTGTAAGGAGATTAGGCAGTGATTTCCTTAGCTAGTCATGCTATTTGTGATGTGGACCATTTTTCTTTCACTGTTGCCTTGACATTTTTAAATAGGTGAGGGATGCCTGAAAGTTTTCTGTTGTAAGAAAAGGATGGTATTGGAGCTCTGAAAATCACTTTTGTACAGTAGTGAAGTGTTAGCAGAGTTACCAGCAACTATTTTTTTTTATCCCACTTACAGATATGAAAGTTAAACTAATTCTAATGGGGTTTTTATGGTAACACTTGATCTGTTAACTAGCTAACCAGGATCTCTGCAGTACAAATAACAATCTCAAAATAATGCTGGGATGATGGCTGGACTTGATGATCCTGGAGGCCCTTTCCAATGATAGTGATTCCATGATTCTATGAAGCATGATTCTTACTGTAGCACACCTCCCCGTGCCACTCCAAGTCCACATTCAGTGCCATTTGTGGAAGATTAATTGAAACTGTAATTCATGATCCACTCTGTGGATTGTTTTTTTTTCTCCCCTTCTGTATTTAAAGAATACAAAATAAATTCATCTTGTACATTTTCTGTTATGCAGGAATGACAAGGTATGTTACCAACTAACAATCTGCTTTTTCCCTGCTGCTCCAAATACTTGTGTAGCTGAACTAACACTGACTTAGGGGAATAAACCATGAGGAGGTGATGCTGCTGAATCCCTCCTTCTCCATACTCTAAAATACTGGCCTAGCTGAAACAGCCCTTACTGCCATGAAGAGCAGAGTGGGGCTTGTGGCTCAGGTCAGCTGCATTAGCCTGTAGAAGACACCACCCAGGCAAAACTGCAGCTGTGTTATAAAGCTAACATTTTTATAGGTGAGCTTAGTTTCTATTAGTATGCATCCTAGGGCTTTGTTGAAACACCAGTTACCTTCCCCTAGTCTAAATGTCTAGAATACTTGATAAGGATCTTGATACCCAGTAGTGATAGAAGAGCTTTGAGCTTGGAAGCTGAACATGAACTGAGCAGAGTCCCAAGTGGTCCCTGCATTACTGTGGGTGTGCATTTGTGGCTTCTGTTGATCTAAGGGGAATTCAGTTTGTCAAATCAAGGAAGTGTCCTTTATTGTTAACCTTGTTATGAAAATAGAATCATTCATTACTTACACTTGCAATTGGATCTTCCACTGCAGTTAAACTAAGGATTTGTGTGCAGTTTTGTCCTTTTCCCCTGAAGTCTACAGCATGGACTTAAAATTGTTAGAGCAGAAAGAGTCTTACAAATTACAGAATCTTACTAATACTTCAAGCATGCTATGAAAGCTTGGAAGACTTGTTACTACACTTACATTTAGAGAATTAGAATCTGATTTACATTGTTCATTGTCCAAAGTGAAAACTATTACATTTGTGTTCAGCACTTTTTAGAAAGACATTTTTAATAGGCTCAAGAATCATGTCAGAGGAGACAGAAGAGTAGAGGCAGAAATAGATTTATTCTGTAAGACAGGAATGAAGTGCCACCTTGCACAGGCAGTTACCGGTTTTGTAATAAAGTCTTTTTCTTGGACTAACACAAGCTGTATGACAACTTATAAAGGATGTGACAGCTGAGCCCCTTGTCATGAAAGAGAATACATCTTTCCTTTACAACTGGTAGTGGCGTAGGTAGATCAGCTTCTGAGGATGAAACTTCTCTCTGCACAGTGGACATTCATTCTACAAAAAGAAAACAAGTTGGACACACTACATTGCTGTATTTAAAAGTAAAAGAAAAAACAAAACACAACAAATCCAACTATAACTGCTTAGTTACTTCTAGAAAATAACCTGCATCCATAATTAAACATCTTTTCAGTCCAGTTTGTGACACAAGTGTGATGAGGTAAAGCACTGAAGCCAGCACAGTGTGAGGAGCATCCTGGGGTTGATAGGGGTGCTTAAAAACTGGATGGATTCTTAACAGTTCTTTTGGTGTGTTCCTTTGCTTGTGTTTTTTTCAATGCAGATGGCAATACACTTCTTCAGTTAATTTTGATAATGAGTGGAATTGGAAAAAACTACAGTCAGAGCCAGTATGAGGAAGCATTCATATACATTAGAAGTTGTATTTAAAAGTCTTGACTGTGTCACAAGATACTCTTAGTTCTCTACATCAGAGCTCTTAGATTTGTGTCTTTGCTTGGTGAATCCAGTAGGAGAGTCAAAGGATTTATTAGGTCAGCAGGTTCCAAATATACCAAAAGTTACTAAAATGGTAACAATTGTTGTTGGTGTTAAGAAAAAACAAGCTCTGAAACAACAAATCCTGAACCATGGACATTGCACTGCCCTTTGAGTAGTAAATTAGTCACCAAGGCTTTAGGGCAAAGAATAAGGTAAAGGTGTGATTACAGTGGATGGATGTTTCCAGATCTGAAGTATCACTGAGTAATGCATTTTTAATACTGTTTACATACAGATACAGGCATCTGGGACAGCTTTAGAGTTTACAACAATGGAAAAAATGTGTAAAATAACTGTCCTCTAACAGGTGCAGCTCTGCTGTCACTTAGTACTCACAATGAACACTAAAAATGAAACTGTCAGTAGCCTTCTAAGGTACTTCTGATACATTCAAATTTCCATGGCCTCTGAATTATTTGAAGATACTTCAAGCAGGGAGCCAGCAGGGCAGCTCAAAATGCTAACTCATTTGAAGTTCCTCCTTGATTTTCCAGTCAGGTCTTACAGGAAGTTAAGGACTGATCTCCTAGATTACCAAACAACTTTTTTAAATTGATGCTCAACCACACAGGGGACCACATAAGCTTGAATACAGCCACAATGCAAAAGGATCATTTACCTAAACTACTCTAATTCTGAAAATGTGTGTGAAAACTTTAGTTCATGATGCTTCAGCTTCCTACAGGAAACTCTAAAAGCCCAAACCAAAGTTTTGGGAGGTAGATACAAATCAGCTTTGTATCTGCTTGCTAGTTATAAACTTTGAGTGATTTTTTTTTTTAAAAACAAACAAACAAACAAACAAAAAAAAAAAACATTATTAATTCTCCCCTCCCAGCACTTGATTTGAAAGTGGACTAAGCTTTTTTCTATGTAATTTCAGATTCATAAGAAGGTAGTGCTCAGGAGTTAAGGTTGTTGCATTAAGGATATTTAACAACCTTATGTTTTTCATCAGATATCTTCTGAACAGCTAAGTTATAGGAATTCTGTGTATGGGAACTATTCCTCTAATAACTCACTCCTGTTGATATCTACCTTGTTAAGAAAACTGCCTGAAACACTTTGTTAGTGCCTTCTTTAGGCCCTTGCAGCAGCTGGTAATACATTGCCTTATTCCATGATACCTCAAACATCCTTAATGGATAAAAATTCTGTAGAATTTCATTAATCCAGAGCAAAATCCAAATTTAAAATGCCATGTGTAAGAGCTAGCTCAGTTTGGTCATAACTTATTCCTTTTTACTGGAAATCAAGTGAAGAAGGCTTCAGAGCATCATCACTTTTCTTGTTTCTTTGCAGTCAGAATTACAGCCCAGGTCTGTAGATGAATTATCTCCCCCTATGACTTCCAGAGTAGTCCAATTGCATTTTAGTTCTTGGGACAGAAAACTACTCACCTTATTTACCTCATCTGTGTCACACACAGTCATTCTATTCTAATAAAATATACAGGTTCTGGTAAACTCTTGTGTGAGGATTTTGGGTGTCATAGTGAGGCAAAGGGGATTACTTCAACACCCAGGCCAACAAGTACCTTCAAGCAGAGACCTCATCACGTTTACCCCTTCCAGCTGTCCTTGTGTACTTACTCTGGTGTTACACCATTCTGTGATGCACTCCCAGCAGAAGAGGTGCCCACAAGGGGTGGCTGTGGTGTGTCTCCGTTCTTCCAAACACAGAGTGCAGCGAGAGTGGTGCCCAGCAGCTTTCTCCTTGGTCATATTTCTATTTAACATAGTTATGTATTACCCAATTTTATTTAGCTTGCTTGTGACATATTTGGCAACACAATCCTTAAGTAAACCCCATCTTAAAGATATTAAACTTTTTTGTGAAGATTTCAAAAACATGATAGAGAAGCATGAAATCAGAGATATTAGAACAGCAAGACATGCATTGAGTGTTACATCATGTTCTAAAGTCTTATTCTACTGTTCTCCCCATTCATGCAAGCCCATCATTTCCCACCACTGCTTCTACCTCTTTCCTAGTAAGCAAAAATCATCATACTTCAGATGAGGTAGGCTGCGATGTAGTTTCCATTCCTGCCTTGCTCTCTGCTTCTGTTTGAAGCTGTATAGTTGAACACTAATTGTTAGAAGAAGGTGGAAGAGTGAAATGATCCCAAGAAGCTTGTAACTTGATCGAATACTCTGATCTTCTTCTTGTGGTCCTCCAAAATGCAGCTATGTAATTCAACAGAAAAAGAGATGTTTCATTACTGGGGGTTTATGAGACTATGCCCCCCTTCCCCATCAATAAACCCTTGCTTTGGGATTCTCATTTCAGTCCAGAAAATGGATGTGTTTCTGGGACTTACCAACCTGCTGTCTCTCAGGAGGTCTGATGTCTCCTGGATGCATCTCATTCAGTCAGGCTGCACCTGACTGCGTGTGCAGGGATTGGCTGTCTTGAGTTGTCTCTGTCCATCAAAACTGCTGCTTTAATTGGTTTGGTGTTAAGTAGCTCTGAGCAAATAGCCAGGCACCTGTTTCCCACACTGACACTGGGAATTGTTAAGGAGTCTGGTGTTTATATCCATTTCTGGGCCAGTGGCTGATTTATTTTTTATTTTGAAAGATACTTGCTGAAAAGGCCATGTGAAATTAGCTCTTTGTATAGAAAAATACTATCTAAACCTCTACCGGTTTTTATTCAAACCTGTATTTATTTCCCATGGATTTATTAAGCCACGAATCACCTTTTTTGAAGGCAGACTGGAGTAGTCGTGTTCTGGCGTTACACAGCCTGTCAACTCCTGACAGTGCATTCACCATTAGGAGCCATAACCTTTCGACTGCAGGGACTCGTAACCCCTCTCCACACTATCAGAAATCCCCCTCGTGCCCAGTCTGCTCTGTCCATATTGGTCAGCTGCAGCCAAATTCCACATCCCTGTTACGCACGTGGCATCCCAAAAGAGGCCCCCCCTGAAAAGAAGAGATGTGTCCACTTACGTAGGTGATTCCTGCGACTCGCTTGGCCAGGTGGTAGAAGGTGCCCCTCATGTAGAACACTGCCAGGTGCAGCCGGTGCAGCAAAGGGACGAATTGTTTCAGGACATGCACAGTTTGTAAGACTCTTCTCTTCTGCTGTTCCGTAAGGTGCCCGACGTACTTCTGTATCCAGTTTCGTATTAAGCTCCTACTGGACAAACCAAGTGCTGGGTGGCTCTGCGAGGTTCTGGACTCATCAGCCTCTGCCTGTAGCTCACGTTCCAGGTGCAGTAACCCCTTCTCCAAGCAATAGGGCACTACAGTATGAAGAGAAACGAAGATGGCCCGTCGAAGAAAAGAAGGTACCCTCCTCTTGGTTGGGTCAACTTGGATGATGTTAACGTACTCTTCACCCAGAGTCTGGTAACCTAAATGATGTGTGCAACAGAAAAGAGGCAGGGTAAGATGGCAGCTCAGGGTCGTTCTCCACGTGGCTGGGCAGCAGTGGCAGGCTCCTCGGGTCAGAGCATCGGGGTCTGGAGCTCAGACATCACTGCAGGTTTTTGCACTGTATCACGCCCGTGGCACCAGTGCCCGCGATGGTTTTAGGCCCAAAGCAGCGACTGTTTCCCAGTGTCATGCGTCCCTTTTTTAAAAAGAACTTTTGCTTTTAAAAGAACATATATTTGGGCTGACAGAACTCAAAATTCTGGCAGTTTAGCGGCTTCATGTTTAGTAAAAGGCATTTATAGGAAAGTAAACCCCAGGAAACCCCCACGCTGAGCAGCCGTCAGGCC